CAGGGCCTGGGCCTCGTGCCTGCCCCACGCCCTCAAGGTTCTGATTTACTCAGCCTGGGAAGGGGCTGCAAATGATCCCCAGGTGATTTTAATGTGCAGCCAGAAACAAGAACCACTGCTCTGCTCTCTCCAGTTGCCAGGGAACAGTCCTCGGATTCCTGTAACTTTACTACACAGAATAGCTGGAGTCTTTCCCCTCTCTTGCCAGACTCTGCATTTCCTCAGACCACAGCCGGGTTGTAAAAGAACATTTTCCCTTCCTCCTCTGTGTGGACACATATGCAGAGCTTTAGAAAGTGGGACATACCATATATGTATTGTTCTGCATTTTGTTTTCATCACTTGACTTTCTTTTACGCATATGACACTGATCTGTCTCGTCATTTAAAGAGCCACAAAATACCACCATCATTCACCAGGTACCATTTTCCACTGGCATCATCTGGATCTCCTCTCATAGTTTGCTATTGCTAATACTATAAAGGGAATTTTTGATTTCTCCTAAGGAGGGAGGGAAATAGTGGGTATAACTCAAAGTTCCAGGAAGATCCCTATGTGATTTAGGCTTATTGTAAGTCTGTTTAGTAAGACCACAGATCTTACTGGGAGTATGGAGTTCTGCCTCCGTCTAGTGACTATAGGTTTTACTGTCCTTACTGGGCCTTGGTTTTCAGAACTGTAGAATGGGAATACTAATTTTCTTTGCTTAATTGTGTTGTGTGCATGATGGTACCTGTGAATCACTGTGTGTATAGGGCCTGGCTAAGCCTGGTTAAGATCTTGGTAAAGAGTTGCTCTGATTAATAATGCTTTTGTAGGACTAGAGATGTGGTTCAGATGGTAGATGCTTGCATAAATCTTGGACAGAGTTCAGTTACCAGCACCGCATAAAAATTGGGTGTACTGGAACACACCTGTAATCCCATGGAAACAGGAGATCAGAAGCTACACAGTGAAGTAGAGGCCAGCCTGGGCTACATGTGAACCTATCTGAAAAAAAAAAAAGCAGCAACAACAACAAAAGCAATGGGTTATAACAGAGGGGTATTAGAATTCAAGATCCTCATGGTGTGACCCAATGCTTTGCTCCCTCCTCGAGTAGTCCAGAGAAGAACTTCAAAGCATAGCTGGTCTTCTCTGACTTCTCTGCTTGAGCTGGGCTTTGCTGTTTTCAGGGCTGAGGGTTTGATCTTAAAGTCTATAAATAGCAGATGTAGGTGGATCCTAAGTGCCGTGTATGAGCTGGACTGGAGATATGGCACGGAGCTCGTAAGAGTCTGAGCTCTCAACTCAGGTCTGTCGTCATTAATCCACAACTAACTTTGGTACCTTCAGCTGCCAGGGACTGTCCCTCCCCCATGGGGGGGGGTTAAATAATGACGAGAACTTGCTATCTTTGATCACAAGAGGTCTGGGTGTCGGGCAAGCCCCAGTTGGGCTCATTGAGCAACTCCACACTCTCCAGAACCAGTTCCTCACCTCTTTCAAGAAAGACTGTGTGCACTGCTTCATATGTTATGTATCCTATTTCTCTCTCATGTCCTTTGTGTCATCTAGAGACAAAGAAAAAGCATCTCTCCTTGTATCTCTTTTAAAGAGTAAAGAAAGGGTCCTGCCAAGCCTGACACCCATTTATCCTTGAATCCCATTGATACAAACTGAATCCAAGTCAGTGTGTGAGCAGTCAATGAACATTCATGATTTAGGCCACCCTGGGATCAGAGAGGGCATGGCCAGACCTGTAGCACACAGCTCCAAGAATGGGTTTGCACAGATCGGCAGCCTCTGGCTCTGCCATGTAGGTCTTTAAAGGACTGCTCAGTCGTAATTTTAAGATCCAAACTTAATATGCAAATCTTCCCAGTAATCATATAAAAATATCAGCTTTGAGTTTTATCACCTGGAAACTTAGCATAACAAAGGCAGGGCAAGGATGCTCCCTGTTATTTTTAGAGCTGGGAATGTTAGTTACAAGTGAATAGCCTAGCCACAAAAGGAATGCAGGAGGAAGAGAAAGGGTAGAGTCAGCCCTTGGCATGGAGTGCCTTATGTATGCTGCTATCAGATCTTAGGAGAGAAGCTTCTAGACAGTCGGGGAGCCTAGAAGGTATTCCTGGGGTTGTGTTTGTCTACTACTGGATGGTCCAGTGAGCCTCATACCCAACACCCGGAATGTAAAGAACATTGGTGAGAGGGTGATTCCAGAGAGAAAATTCGTGTTAAGATGTCCTGTATAGATGCCCAGGTCCCCATAATGTGGAGAATCCAAACCTCATCTTGGCCTTGCATTGCTAGCTCCTAATCAGAAGGACTGATCCCAGGTATACAGGGGCACAGTCCTGTGTATGCCTGGCAAACTGGGGCACGCTACGTGGACACCAATGCTCCAAGCTGGAAGACAGCAATCAAGCCACATAACCCAGTGACCTAAGGCCACTGTGATGCCTAGTCTGTAATTGCTATTCTCTTAGCTGTTGAATGCTTCTGACATATTTCCAGGCTGGTGAGTAAACTGACAGTGACTTGTGGAATGAAAATCCTCTCTGCACACCAGATTCTACTGTATCTTAGTCAGGGTAGCAAGCCTCTACAAGACGCAAACACAGGTCAAGCACTAGGGCAAAACAGCCATGGTGAGATCACCAGGAGGAGGCAGCTGGAAACCCTGTGCACATGTGAGGGGCAATTCGGGGCGGCTGAGACTTGAGCTCCAGGCAGCATAGTTCAGTTACCTTTCTGTCAACTACCTCCATACCTGTACCCCACCAATTTACCAGAACCTCAGAAGGAGTGCAGAGCAGTGCAGAGAAAGTCCCACCCTCAATTTCTTAGAAAGAGAGACCCTAAAAATTCTGCTCAGATAGCACTTTGGAGAATATGATCAAGGGATTCGCTGTCAAATTTCGCTATGCCCTCCCTCTGGATACCCTCTAATTTGGGAATTCAGACTGATTGCCAGATAGGCTCCACGGTAGTGCTGTTTGTGAATGAGGATAAAATATAGAGGGGGGTGGATTGGGGCGGGGGGGGGGGGGGGCTTCTGATTTCCTTTATGTCCTTTCTTGACATCTCTGGCTTTGAGTTTTCAATATTCTCAAGCCATTAGCACCAGTATAATATTGAGATTTCATAGGATATTGTTAAAAAAAAAAAGCCAACAAGAGAGGTTAAAGAGCAATGAATAAAAGATGTAGAAAAAAAAAAAAAACTTAGAGAAAATCAGTGTCAGTTCTCAGAATAGGAATCCCATGAAATAGGGAACAAGGGGAAGATTTTCACCAGAAACATGCTATCAGGAGACATGTTGAAGTCTACGTGTACTGTTGCTCCTCTGGGTTTGCTTCCATCCATTCTAAGTGCATCCCTGAAGCTCAGACAAGTCACGTTGGGACTTCCCATCTATAAAATGGGAAGGGCTATAGCTTGACGTTTTTCAGCAAACCTTGAACTTCATTAATTCTCTTCACTTAAATATGTTGAGGGGCACTGAAGCAGGGCAGGAAAAACTCTCTCTGCAAATGGTGCCACAAGGCAACTTATCCCAACACCAAAGCAGACATTTCCATGGCTAGTGCTGTGGTCTACCTGGCCTTCCCTCAGTCCACAGCACCCACCCCCACAGAAGTCTTCTTGTCAGGGGCCATCTGTCCCAGTTTCCCTTGCTTCCTAACAAGGAGCAGAGTGAGCACAGCTGGGCCATCGAAGCTTCATCACTTGGCCAGAGCTGTGGGATAACCTCTAATGCAGGGTCAGTCTCAGTGCAACTTGGTTTACTCCTCACTAGCTATGTTTCTTTGGGCAAGAGCATTACCGTCTCTAAGATTTATTCTTCCTCTTCCTAAAGGAGAGGACTGTTGCAGTGCATAAAGGCATTGAGATAGAGTGTGCACTGCAATCCTATGTGCCCAGGACACAGCAAGCATTCATATATAGCCACAATAGCTGGGTCACTAAACGATGAGTCTTAGCAATTGCTTTATCTATCAGGTTTGGGTACTGGTTGAACATCTCTCACCAAAAAATTCTAAAATTGAAAATGTTCCAAAATCTGGCATTTTTTTTTTAATAAAGGCATGATGGCATGAATGGAAAATTCTCTAACTGGCTACATGAGACAAATTGTGATCAAAACACAAGCAATCTAAAATACAGTATAAAATTACCTTCTGGCAGCCAGGCGGTGGTGGCACACGCCTTTAATCCCAGCACTTGGGAGGTAGAGGCAGGTGGATCTCTGTGAGTTTGAGACCAGCCTGGTCTACAAGAGCTAGTTCCAGGACAGCATCCAAAAGCCACAGAGAAACCCTATCTCGAAAAACAAAAACAAAAACAAAATTACCTTCTGGCTATGTGTGCAGAAATTACACATAAATGAATTTCCGGTTTCCACTAGGATCCTGTCTCAAAGACAACTCATTATATATGCAAATATTGCCAAAGGCCTTTCAAAAAGCTAAGGTTCAATACACTTCTGGTTTTATCCGTTTCAGATAAAGGATGCTTCACATTCTAAAAGTATGCATTTTTAAGATAAAGAAGCTATTATTTATTAGAAAATATCCCATTTCCTCTGCCTTTAAATTGTTTTTGAGAGAGAAGCTGGGTTGGGGGATTGGGGGGGGGGAGGTCATGAAGTTGCATAGGTAAAAAGGGGGCAGTATCTGGGAGGAGTTGGGAGAGGGGAAAGAATAATATCAAAATATATTGTATGGAAAATGCTTTCAATCAAAAACAAGTAAGTTGACTATATGCCCTGCAAAACAGCAAGCTTTGGTTTCATGGATTATAGATGGGTTCACAGTTGCAGTCTCCCATTTTTTTTCTCTACCTAAGGCTACAGTAACCATAATGTAGCCAAAACAACCAGCAAGTGACAAGTGACACCTCAGAACCCCAGCATCCAGCCTTCTCAGAGCTACTACTCCTCTATGGCTCTGAGGTAGAGCTGCTTCCTATGCTTAGGCCGGCCCCACTGAGCTCACCTCTGTCTTTCCCTACAGGCTGTCAAGCGGTTCTTGAAACAAGAATGCAAGTGTCATGGTGTGAGTGGCTCCTGTACTCTGAGGACCTGCTGGCTGGCCATGGCTGACTTCAGGAAAACAGGCGACTATCTTTGGAGGAAGTACAACGGGGCAATCCAGGTCGTCATGAACCAGGATGGCACCGGCTTCACTGTGGCCAATAAGAGATTTAAGAAGCCAACGAAAAATGACCTCGTGTATTTTGAGAATTCTCCAGACTACTGTATCAGGGACCGAGAGGCAGGTAAGTTACGAGAATTCCTTCAGTGAGCAAAGCTCTGCAATCTAATTGGGCACCTATATTTTTCAGCAGGTCATTTGCATAATTGCACCGGCCTGCCTTCGGGCTCTAGGCTTGTGTTTTTTCTAATTCATACCGAAACTGCACAGAAAGTTCTCCCTAACAGCTGGAGAAACAGGTTGATAGTATGCAGAGACTGAAGAAACACAAATTAACAAGAATGTTTGTGGCCAAGAGTCAAGCAGATTGATGGAATTCTTGCCTGCACAGAGTTCTAGTTAGGGGGATGGGAAAACAATATGTGCAATTGCCCAGCATCTTTCCTTGATCCTGAGCTGATCAGGGGACAGTTTTGTAACAACCCCCACATACACATACACATCCACTGTGACTCTGAAATGGCCCTAGGACTGGGGCACTTAGCCTCTTCTGAAGTCTGCCTTGCTTCACAATCCCTTGCTCTTTTCAGTATGTTTACAATTGTCAGACACTAAAAAGAATTGATCCCCATGCTTTTGACCATAGGTGGGTTGTGTATCAGGAGTGACTGTAAGGGGCACCTCATTTATTAAAGTCATACTCTTCCCTCCAAAACAACACAGTCTCTATCTTGTACTCTGAGAGCCATTCTTCCATTCTGGACCTAGCAGCTGTCCCCACCTATCTGCTTTGATAGATATGGGCTCCCCACTGCTCACCCTCAAGGTCAATATTAGGTTGCAAAGACTGCAAAGATTCTCTCAGTGGACAGGAGGTGATGGGAACCCACAGCCCACTATGGCTCAAGTCATTTCCTTACTGGGAAGCAATGGCATTTACTATCAGGAAAAAAAACAGCCTCCAATTTAGATTCGGAGTTTGTTTTCCATTCTGAAAGAATTGCAGAAGAGCCAGTAAGGCAGTGCAGATGCAGCCAGCTGCTAAAACTAGATGAACTGATAGGCAAGATTACCAGGGAGCATCCTAAGAAGCCTGGAGCCCTTTTACTGCCCTTGAGTCGTTAAGTTCCTTTGGAGTTGGATGAGTTAGCTGTCTGCAGCCTGTAAGCATGTTTGTACATGCAGGCTATGGATTCTCACTGCTGTGCACAAGGACCTGATTCTGCACACTCTTGCATTCCTGTCATGTTTAGGGACTGCTGCAAAGTTATCCTACCCATCAGACAGCAGGCTAAATGGAACCTCTGTAAAACCTGTTGCTTTGACATGAATCAACCCAGGAGACCATGTCCACTTCCGCCCTTAACTACTTATTTGACTTTACATAGGCCATGGACCTTAATCATTTTAGGTCCCAAGAGTAAACCCTTGTGGACTGAGAAGACCATTGTGCAACTACCTGGTCTTGTTGAATCTATGAAGCATTCCTAAGACATCAGTGCACTGTAAATATTTACCTGGTGAAAAATGGGACAAAATGATGGATCTCCTTAGCGATCAACACCAACCAAAAGAGTCAGATGAACAGTCCTAGATATCACTGTCCACATTGGCCAGTTAAGAAAACTGCATGCCCTGTTCCCACATCATGTATGGAGGAGATGCATGTCTGACCCTGTGCATGGCCTGAGCCTTGAGCCTAAGATGACACATCCGCTTCAGTATTTCCTAAGCATGCTTGTAAAAAGACCTTAAGACCAAAACTTCATATCAGCTTTTAGAAAACCTACTGCCCAGCAGGCTTTTTCTGGTTATTTGGGTTGAAACAGTTTACATAGTGAAGGAAACAGTCATAGCTGATGAGTATTTTTCTTCCTCACTGGTATTCAGGGAACTAAAACACATACTTTCTTGTCATACAGAGAGTTTCTGAATGTGCTCCTGCTTACCTTTTTATGCTATTGAATTAATTATTCTTACAGACTTCACTCTTCACATTTATGTTAGGATGGAATTCTGGCTATTTTGTTTTTAAGTGTGTGTGTGTGTGTGTGTGTGTGTGTGTGTAGGTACCTGCCAAAGGCCAAGAATATTGGGACCCCTGGAGCTGGAGTTACAGGTGGTTGTAAGTCACCCAGCATGTATGCCAGGGGTCCAAAGTTGAGTCTCCTGCAAGAGCAGTAAACACTATTGAAAGCTGGCAGCTAGGAAGTCTGCTTCTTACCATAAAATCACCGCCCACTGCATCCCACAGCTCGGTCTGTATGCTCTCACCAATTCTCAGCCTCTTGTGTTACAGCAGTGGAAAGTGAATCTCTAGGGGGCTAAGAACCTTGCAGGACTCTCTGTCTGTACTTTCCATCATTTTGACCTGCCTCTAGCTGCCCTAATTACAAGGGCATACAGTTAAAGGACTGGCTTTCATAATAAGCTATAAAATTTGATCTTTTATGTCTATACTTTCTTAGAAATGTTTTAACTTACCTAATTTAAAAGTAGATGAATATTTTGGTTCTTGAGTGGTGCTGATCAATAGGAATCATCCTGTTCTTTTTAAGTATCCAGTTCCAATATACTAGGTCATCTTTCCAATATGTTTGCCAGATTATTTGTGATTTTATGTACTATATAGAAATGATGCCCTTTGTAACTGTGCCTGAGAACATGCAAAAGTCATCCATGTAACCCGAATTGTTTCTTTTTTTAATTTTAGTTAGCTCCATATGATTATTGTCTTAAAAATATGGTTCAGAATGTTTTATATCCCATTAGGCAAAAGTTCAGCTTGTTAAAAGAATATTTTGATCATGAATATTTGGAGTATTATGCAAATAGTCAAAAGTGTGGAATGCAGAGACCTTGGCTTCTACCACATACTGGCGGGGGGTCTTGCCCATTTTCCTGTGACTGATTGTCATCTTCAGATAAGGGTCTTCCTGACTGGGATAAGCTTCTGTGGTCTGGGCTCTACTAAGCTGGTCTACACCTCACTGAAAGTTTCTGGGTACGGAATTGTTCCAGGGAAGCCCCCTAACCTCTTTGGAGATAGAGGTGTGAAATATAGTTCTGAGTCCCATGAGAACTGAGGCTTCCTGCATCTGACTCACAGTGGATACAGGATCCGTCCCCTTGGTGAGAGTAAGGTGTCAGGTCTTTCAGTCTACAAGAGGGAAGCTGCCAGTGTGCGTCTGTAACAGAATGGCACACTGTGTAGAATAATCTTACCTTCGGAAGGGACTGCTTTCTGGCAAATAGAACTCTTGTGTGTTTAAAATTGGGTTATCATTAAAACAGATTTTTTTTAATTAAAAAACGTGCTAGATAGGCTCCAAGATAGACCCAAACTTTGTAATAATGTTTAAATCAACACACACACATTGCTCTTCTTTCTTAATGGTTTTGTTTATTAAAATTCATACTCATGCTCCCTATATTTCATCTTCCTTCTCTGAATGGCTAAAGTAATGAACACTTAATATTCAATTTACTGGCACCTGCTCCTTCAGAGCATGGGAAGGTCAAGAATGGCTCTCGGGTGGGTTATTGGTTACGTGGATGGTGTTTGAACTAATTGGCTATGCTCTTGCTGTTCCCTACTGCATCCTGTTCAGAATAACAGTGCCCAGGAGTGAGCTGGAGTGCTTTTCCAGTTGTGTTTATGCAGTGGACACATCTGCAGGCCACTTCTCCATAGCGGGGGCCTCCTCGGAGACCCTCAGATCAGAATCAGGGGATCCCCATACTTTTCAAACTTAACATTAACATTCAGAAAAATCAGTGATTTGGTAGTCCATGGCTCTGGTTTACCCCTACTATCGGAGAAGAGGAAATCCAAGGACACTTTGTTCTTAGCATCTCTGTTCCTTAGAAAGGGTGAAAAGTGTTCTTTGCAGAGCTCTGAATAGACATTACTCAAAAAATGTACCCTACCCTTACTCTTGTGGATAAATATTCTTTTTAACATGTAGACCCATCTCCAGAAACTCTACTATAAGCAGCTTGTTTAAGTGGTTACAGTCAGTAAGACTTCTGCTGGAATTAGTTTGACATCTTGGTTGTCAAGTCACTTCTCCAAGGAAACTGACAGAGTGACAGGAGGATGAGTGAATGTGATGAGAAGACTCAGAGTGGACAGGCTGAATGTTTCTGGTGAGAACAGATCTCACTCAGTACGGATGCTGGGAGCACAGCTGATTTCCTGATAGGTCAGTCTCTTCTACATCCCTTTCATGCATAAACCCTAACTCTTGGCAGCGGTCCCCTTATTTTCAGGTCAAGAAAATGGAATCCCAGAGTTTTGTAATCTGTCCAAGATTTTCATGCACTGGAACTAGTTAACAAAATAAAGGGAACAGATAAAACTCAAAACGAAAATCCATACTTTTCTCACTATACTATTTCCCTCCTATTTGGATCCTTGGAAAGTGGGGCGGGGGAATCTTCTGTTATAAAGATTCAGTATGAAGACGTGGGACTTTAATGGGGGGTACCCACAAAGCTGGCAGCTCAAAACTCATCAGGATTAAAGAGATGCATCTAGATTATGTTAAAGCCCTTTTCAATTAGAAGCTCTCTAAGACTTTTTCTTTTTCTTTTCTCATGTGTGCTGTGCATGCATGACTGTGTACATTCCTGTGTATGCATGAGTGGAGGCCAGAGAGGATATTGTCTTCCTCTATCATTGTCTGACTTATTCCCATTAGACAGGATCTCTTACTGAACCTAATGCTTGCCATTTTGGCTAGACTGGCTGGCCAGAAGCTTCCCAGGACCCACCCATCTCTGCCTCTCAACACTGGGGTTACAGGCATGCACAAGCTATGCCTGGTTTTTTTTATCTGAATACTGGGGATTTGAACTCAGCTTCTCATGCATTGAGCCATCCCCCTAGCTCACTGCTTCAAATTTTTAATTTTTCCTAATAAATATGAAGGAAAAAAACTTGAAGAAGAAGAAGTTGTGGAAACAATAACCAAACATGCCCCCTTATTCTTTATCTGAAGAAGGCGAGTGTTTTCTGTTGATCAACTATAAATACCTCTTTTGCAGCTCAGAATTGCAGAGCACAAGGAACTGTGTGAGTTTGGGCATATGGTATTTTACAGGCCAAATTGGAGGCCACAT